GCAGGTGTCGCATCCTGAGGGACAAGTTGGCTTTCTGTTGGGAAGATGTGTCAATCAAAGCAGGATATGTTCGGCCCATTCTCACCATGGTGTTCACGCTCTGGTCTGGAAACCCTCCACCCTTTAGGGCTATGAGGAGGAAGAGGGGGGTCAATGGCTTTATCCTCTGATTTTCTATTTGAAGAAAAAGGTACCCAGGTTTAGAGCCATTAGGGACCCTCTGGCCCAGTGACTTCGTTTCCCGGGGCCGTGGTTGGCCTTTGGGAAACAATGGTAGATGTGTCTTCACCAGTTACTCTGGCTGTGTTTCGGGGCGACTAGGAGGTGGGAGAGGCAGGGCAGTGTGGTCAGGCTGCACCCCCACCCGCCTGAGGGTAAGGTAGGAGCTGGGGGGTGAGTGCTTTGAGGCCGGTGCAGAGGTGGCAGTCCCTGCAAGGATGCTGTGGGGCAGAGGGTGCGGTAACCCCACAGGCAGCCTTGCTCTCCCTCTTTTGTTATTGCACCAGGTGTAGCTGGGTGGGTCCAGCAGGTGTTTCCGTGTTGCGGGCCCGCTGGACGAATGCCAGGGCAGGCTTGTGGATGGCAGCAGCCCTGGAAACCTCTGCCCTTCCTGATTTGATCTTGTCTCCACGTGGGTTCCGGGGCCTGGCTGGCTGTCTGCTGACGCTCGATTGCGGATCTGTGTGGCTAACGGGTGAGATACGTGTGGAGCACTTGAAAGGTCTGGGCAGCTTTAAAAGTTGCTCTCCAAGGGTGAGATTTCACACCGACTTCAGCGGACACGTGTTGTATTTCATTAAATGTATTTTAAGAAATTATTAGAGCAGATCACAAACTTACACAGAAGGAGAGAGACTAGTCTAATGGACCCACTGCCCAACTTCCCCAAATCACCGGTTCACACATGGCCAGTCCATGTCCCCCACTGACAATGATTTTGAAACAAAGCCCATAAAAGATAAAATTGCTTTGGTAAATATCTCACTATGTATCACTAAAAGATAGCAGCTCTTTTGAAATACCTTATGACACCTAAAAAATATTTAACAGTGATTCCTTAAAGCCACGAGGTAAGGATTGTTCGCAGGAGTCCTTAGTGTGGATAGAGACTAGGGTGCGCGCATTAGGGAAGAAAGGAGGAGTTTACAATAAATTTTGGAACATTTTCATCACCCCGAACAGAAAGCCTCCTCTCCTTTAGCCATCACCCCCAGCCTTTGGGAGCACTACTCTGCTTTCTGTCTCTGTAGATTTGCCTGTTCTGGGCATTTCAAATAAATGGAAACATACGCTATGTGGCCTTCTGTGTCTGGTTTCTTTCATTTAGCAGAACGTTTTCAAGGTTCACCCACGTCGTAGCCTGTGTCAGGGCTTCCTTCCTTTTTTATTGCTGAATAACATTCTATTTTATGGAGAGACCACATTTTATTGACCCATTTCTCGGTGAAAGGGCGCTTGGGTGGTTTCTACTTTTTTGTTCTTTTGACTGATGCTGCTATGAACATCAGCAAACAAGTTTTAGTGTGGACATATGTTTTCAATTCTTTAGGGCATACTCCTAGGAGTAGAATAGCTGGGTTGTGTGGTAACTCCGTGTGTAACCTTTTGAGTAATTGGCAGACTGTTCTCCGAAGGGGCTGCAACGTTTTATGTCTCCACCTGCAGTGCCTGAGGGTTCCACTTTCTCCACGTTCTTGCCAGCACTTGTGATCAACCATCCCCATGAATGTGAAGTGGTATTTTGCTGCAGTTTTGATTTGCATGTCCCTGATGGCTACAGGAGGCGGTATTACAATTATAAATGTTTTTAAGCGTGAGGCTGTGGATGCCAGGATTGTGGGTGGAATTTTCGCTCATTAGATTTGCACAGGGAGGGGCCGGCCCCGTGGCTTAGCGGTTAAGTGCGTGTGCTCCGCTACTGGCGGCCCGGGTTCGGACCCCGGGCGCGCACCGACGCACCGCTTCTCCGGCCATGCTGAGGCCGCATCCCACATACAGCAACTAGAATGTGCAACTATGACATACAACTATCTACTAGGGCTTTGGGGGAAAAAAAGGAGGAGGATTGGCAATAGATGTTAGCTCAGAGCCGGTCTTCCTCAGCAAAAAGAGGAGGATTAGCATGGATGTTACCTCAGGGCTGATCTTCCTCACAAAAAATAAATAAATAGATTTGCACAGGGAGCTTTTGGAGTCCTTGTCCTGTTCACAAATTCTTGCTTATGGCTCAAAGAGGGAGAGGCTGGCTCAGGGCAGCCATCTTGGCTACTGCAAAACTAAAAAACCAAATTGTCCATTTTGGGGGGCATTTGGGACTCTTAACGTTTGGTTCTTAGTCTGAACCAATCAAAACAAGCAAATCCTTAGTTAAACTCAGAGACTTCTGACAAGGCCATTTACTTTTATGATTCCTAAGCAATCATACCTTTGGATAGATTGGCTACAAATACTATATTTATATTTAATCTATTGCCGTTAATAATCCCTTCATGTTCTGTATAAAGCCCTTGACAGATCTTATAAATCACTGAAAGGGTAGCCAGTCAATTTGCCACGACACGTGCCATGCGGAACTCGGCCTCCTGTTTACTCTGAAGGCTTTGATGGGGAAGGGGTTAAGAGTCAACCTTGAGGCTCCGCGAGGATCTTACAACCTCCAGAAGTGGATTCAGAGCTGTTTCTTTGGGTGCCCTGGTCAACATTCTAAGTAGCAAGCTTAGAGATCTTGCTCCTTTCAAAAATGGGATCTATTTCTTCGAAATTGGCTAGACCACAGCATTTTCCTCCGTGCCTGCTAGATAGTGTGTAACTGTTCTTGAATGCTCTGCAGATTGCACTAAACTAAGTTTATGCCCAGTGGGATACAGTTTTGCTCACTCGCTCTTTTCTTTCAAAATCATCAAAGCAGAACTCGCAGGTTCTGTGTGCTGACAGTTCCCAGGTGTGCCCATCCCATCCTCTCCCTCTGCCCCCAGCATCTCCACCTGCATGCCCCCAGCGACATCCACTGTGGCTGGTCCACGCGTGAATTCTCCACTCCCAGCCCCCAACCTGTCCTCCCCACACTGAGACTCTCCCGGGTCAGGGAACGGCTCTGTTGAGCGCCTGGTTCAAGCCAGAAGCCCCAGAGTGCCTCTGAAACCTGTTCTGGAGTGGGTCACCCTCCCGTCCCCACTGTCACCGCTCTGGGCCAGTATCCTGGAAGACTGCCTCGGTTTCTTAGTGATCTTGCTTCCCTGCCGCTCCCACGCTCCATCCAGCAGTCAGAGGAGTCTTCTTTAAAACAGAAACAGACACCTCCGCCTAAAAGCCCTTAGCATAAAACTCAGTTGCCTCCCATGGCTGCCTCTGGGCCTTCCTTTCCGAAGTTAGCTGTCTGCCCTTGACCCCAGCCACCCTGCCCTTGACCTTAACCATCCTGCCCTTGACCCCAGCCACCCTGCCCTTGACTGCTACCTCCAGTCCTTTCACAGGTCTGCCTTGGGGCCTGAAAGGCTTGCCCTCTGGCTGATCCTTCTCCTGGGCTTCAGTGTCTCTGGGGAGGTCTGTCTGGCTCTCCCTCTTTCTGCCTCCCTGTCTGAGCTGTGGGAGGGCAGGGGGACCTTTCCTGCCAGTGTCGATCCTCCGCACGGCCGCCACGTAAGAGGCAGTAACAGATATTTATTGAATGAACAAATGAATGAGAGTTGGGTGCCTTTCACTGGCCTGCTAATAGAATCGTTTCTCCTGTTGAGCTGAAGACTAAGCGAGTTTGACTTTTGTAACTGGGCGTCTTTGAAACCGCGTTCCCCGTTGATTTTGACAGGGCCTCCATCTGCACTCAGTAGGCTTCAGTAGATAAAAACAAGAAAAATAGCGTGTGATGAGAAAACACACATACATGCAATTTTGGATTTTTATTATGGTTTTTGATAGTTTTTGCCTGCCTCTTTTAGCTTCCATTTTATCCACGTGGGGTTCTGTGGCAGACGGTTTAGGAAGAGATGGTCCATCACCCACCTTCAGAAGGTGGCAGGGGGGCCGGCTCCAGGGGGAGGGAGGCCGAGAGGGAAGAGGTGGCAGCTTCTGGGGGCGGTGTGTCAGGTGCGCCAAGGAAGAAGACAGGAGCAAGAATGAGGGAGACGCAGAATACATTGCAGACTTCCGAAGCAGTTGAAATGAAATGTACTTTCTTTTGCTGGGGCAGAGAGATGGCCTGGGGGAGGCTGTGCTTGGAGGGGGTCAATGCTCTACTCATGTTCAGCCCCTCGGGTGGTTGGTGCCAGTTTGATTTCAGGCCCAGCCTCTGAGGAGGAAGGCCCGAGTCCTTCCTGTAAACGCCCACTCCTGGGATTCTGTGCGTCTGGTTTTCATGGGGTCTTGTGGTGCCTAAGATGGTTTCTCAAGACAGCAACCACCTTCACACCAGAGACCAAGGCATTGGTCCTGTGTTCCCATCTGAAGATGAGGGGTTCAGGGCTCTTGTGGACTTATTTGTGGAGCCTCGGGGCTTCTTCTGTGCCGGCCTCCAGGTGGCTCGTGGGCGAAGTTAGATTTGCCTCTGCATTGCAGGTTGCTAAACAGACACCTGCTTCTCGCGTCAGCTGGGTGTGGCCTGGGCTGCTGGCCTGGAGGGATGGTTCGGTGGGGTGGCCAGGGCCAGGGGCCAAAGGGAAGGATTTCCACTGGCCTGGGGATTGGAGGACAGGGGCCGGGGGTGAGGGGTTCCACTGACCTGGGGCCTGGAGAACAGGGGCCAGAGGTGAGGGGTTCCACTCCTGGACTCAGCTGGTCACCCAGGGCCTCTAAGCAGAGGCAGTGATTGTCTGCATAATGCTGGACAGGCGGGGGAGGGGGTGACGTGTAATCACAGAATGGGATCTATTAATGAAAATATTACATCTGTTAAATGGGGAGGAAAAACTTAAGTTCAGAATGAATTACACCTGTGTACAAGGGTTTCCTGACATCCTGTAAAACACTCCACTGTGTCACGTTGTCCCCCTGTCTTCCCAGGAGATCACTGAAGATGGCAGAAGCTCACCAAGCCGTGGCCTTTCAGTTCACGGTCACTCCAGACGGGATCGACCTACAGCTGAGCCATGAAGCTCTTAAGCAGATCTATCTGTCCGGACTTCATTCCTGGAAGAAGAAGTTCATCAGATTCAAGGTTTTCACATGCTTGTTTAAATCCGTACAGGCTTCTTTTGACCATCTGAGAGCCGTTCTCTAGGTGCTGTTGGAGGACAAGTATTTCCGGGTGTAATTGGCACTTAATTTATGTTTCCGTGGTACTTAAGACTTATGAAACACTCTCACATACACTGGCTCACGGAGTTCTTGAAATTCTGTAAGGCAGGTGGAGCGAGTCGGTACCTGTAGGGCAGGTGAGGAATCGGGGCTCAGAGAGGGTAAGTGACCTGCTCAGAAGAAACAGAGTAAAGACTAGAATCCCTGTCTCCTGCTTGGAGTCCAGAACCCTTTACACCTTTTAGAGAAAGGATTGTTTTCCAGCTGTAGGAAACTGCAGTGAGTTTATTTAACAGATATCTCGCAGGTAAAATAATCAAACACTGAAACATAGGCACGTAAATTCAAATACAGTTAGCTTTGCACGTTCTCAATTCTGTTTACTTGAGAGTGGAAATTTATTCACTGTTGTTAAGCACCTGTCTGGTTTTGACTTTATTTAAAAATCACAGAAGGAATATATAAATGCATGTTTAAAAAAATTCGAACAAGATGCAAGTGCATCAGGCTGAAAGTGCACACGCGTCATTCCCCAGGGGTGACTCGTGCCACTTTGTGTATTTATTTTCCAGTTTTCCTTTTCAGAGGGTAGTGCAGAGGAGGGCTGTTGAGAAAGGCCCAGGAGCTAGAGCAGGTGAGAGCAGGGACAATGGGGAAGGTGGGCGGGCCCCTGGGAGCCGCCCTGCTGGACAGGTTTCCCTGGGCTCAGCCAGTGGGTTCTGGGTCACATCCGGTGTCCCTTGCCTGACACCAGCGGGAGGGATCCACCCGAAGTGGAGGAGGGCGCCACCTACAGGGGTAAGCGAAGTTCACCCACCTGGCCTTGCTGAGAGTTCCTCCTTTTACCTTCAAATCAGGAAAACAGAGGTGCGGCCATTGTTTCCACCCAGTGCAAATGTTGTTCTCTGACTTTAAAGACCTTCTCGTGCAGCCGAGGAGGCAAGACGAATAGACACGAAAATATATAGTGAACGGCGCGCGGCCATGCCCAACCAAATGGTTTCTGAGAGGACCATCTAATGCTGGGAGAAGACGAGGGGTCGGCCGGGCTGTCAGTGCAGCTGCAGGGGGAGGGCGTGGTGAGCGGGGGACATTTCATCTAGAACCTTCCTCCCTCCATTTTAATTTAATTTAACCTATGTATGTATGTATCTGTTTATTTTAAAAGAACATGTTTACTTTAGAAAACACCAGAAGACGCCCCACTTTGTTTAAAATCTCTCTCTTATGCCTCTTGACAGTGGGAAATCCAGTGGGCATAATGAGTAGGGGTGCAATTATCTTCTAGAAGATTCGGATGAAGCTTTGAGGGTTTTTAATGCATTGTCTTGGTCAAATCAATCTCTTATTAAGATGGCTTTAGTTAGAATTTTTAATTAGAATTTTTGAAACATAACACAAAAGTAAAGAGAATCGCGAGCCGCACCGCTCCCCTCCTAGTTTCCACAGCTATCAGTGTTTTGCCAGTTTTAATTCATATCTCCTCCTCCCCCCAGTCCTGCTACTTTTGGGTTTTTTTTAAGGGGGGTGGAGGGGTTTGGCCGAAGTATCTGACAGCAGATTCTCGACGAGGAGTGAGGGCTCCTGTAAATCCTTCGGGGTTAAGTGGCATCATGATTCAGAAGTAGCAGGAAGGGTGATTTTGGGGCTGGGGTCTTGGGGCGTCCTGGGTGTAGCGGGTTGGGGAGAAGACTTCATGATTGGCTCAGTGACGTCCTTAACCTGCAGGGGTGTCCTTAACTCAAGGGTGTCGTGAGTCTGGGTGGGGCTGGGGAATCTGTAAAACTAGTGCCTCAGGTGATTCTAATGTCCTGGGGTCACTCTCGGGGAAGCTGTTTTAGGAGGGTTTGGGCTCAAGTAGAGGAGGGGAAGGAACTGGACACATAAGTTGGAGCAGTTTCGAGATGGAGGCTCTGGGGGAGGTCTCCAATAGTGATAGCAGGGTCTCTCAGCCACCCACGTGCTGCAAACACCTTCCTCCCACTGCCTGACATCTGTCTGGCTCCCATCGCCAGGGGCCGTGGGGTTTCGTGGGAGGGACATTGCTCACGATGTGTGTCTGTTTTTAGAATGGCCTCATCACTGGTGTGTATCCAGCGAGTCCCTCCAGTTGGCTCATCGTAGTGGTGGGTGTGATGTCGACCATGTACGCCAAGATCGACCCCTCCTTGGGAATCATCGCAAAAATCAATCGGACCCTTGACACGACGTAAGTAATCCTTTCACATCTCAAGTTGTCTAGGAAGTTATTGATTTTGTTGTTGTTGTTGCTGATATTTTTATGTCTTTTCCAATATAATGCCTGTTATTGTTCTGGATTCCATTTGAAGCTTTGCTGTTGTTCTCGTGTCATGTCCTGGACTGGTGGTAAGATCTCCCAGGAGAGTTGTGGTCCCTCGTGGCCCTTTCTCTGAAGACCAGGGGTGAGAAGAGTGACCTTGGTCCTGGGGTACCCGCCGGAACGTGGCAGGACCCCAGGCCGTGGCCAGCAGGGGCAGTCCACTTTGCCTGGCCGGTGGGGTCCTCACACGGAATTTCTGCTCCGGGAGCTGGTTCTGGACATGGTTACTTCTTTGTGCTGGAGTCCATCCTGGGATTCTGTGACCCTGAGAACTGACTGCTGTGGGGTGCTCTGGGGAGACCTCAGCCCCTTAGCTCCCTGTCAGAGTGGCTTAGAACCCTGGGGGGAACCCCAATACTCTCTCCTGGGAGTTTTAGATTTTTCTAGGAGATTGGAAGAAGGTTCTCTCCCTGCCATGAGATTTGGCTTGGAGGAGCCTTTGGTTGATAATTTTCTCAAAAGGTATGAGGTGCCTAGGGTCTCATGCCAGAATGTGGGGCATGCCCTAGAGGCTTGGATGGAACCCCTCTATGTCCTTTCTTCCCTCCAGTCCCGGGGCTAGCCCTGAGTCCCATGGAGGGTCGGACCCTGGGCTGCGGTGACCTCTCTCATTGGGGTCTCTATAGTGAAGGGGGAAACGTTCAGAGATGCAGATTCTTGCCCAGAGTCACAGAGAGAGGAAGTTAGGAGGCTGGAATTCAAACCCAGTTCTGCACACCCCTGAGATCCGTGCTTCCTTCAGTGTGCCCTGAGCGCCCCTCAGCGCACCGTCCCACCAGACAAACGAGCATCGCTGCCTTAGCGGCAGACGGCCAGATGGTGGAACACGGGGCCGTCTCTGCTACCCTGTTTGTGACTGTGGCCCCTGCTCTGGAACATACGTTTTTATTTTCTGGTTGGAAGGTACCACAGTTCCTCTGATGCCGCTGTGGCTGCCCCATGCCAGACCTTTGATCCTGTTTCTTTTTTTTTGTGAGGGAGATCAGCCCTGAGCTAACATCCGTGCTAATTCTCCTCTTTTTGCTGAGGAAGACCAGCTCTGAGCTAACATCTATTGCCAATCCTCCTCCTTTTTTTTTTTTCCCCCCCAAAGCCCCAGTGGGTAGTTGTATGTCATAGCTGCACATCCTTCTAGTTGCTGTATGTGGGACGCGGCCTCAGCATGGCCGGAGAAGCGGGGCGTCAGTGCGCGCCCGGGATCCGAACCCGGGCCGCCAGCAGCGGATCGCGCGCACTTAACCGCTAAGCCACGGGGCCGGCCCGTCGATCCTGTTTCTGTGTTGCTTGTTTACATCCATGAACATTTTAGGTCTCTGACTAGAGAAATAATAGTCCCCACGTCCTCGTCCCATCATTGGGCTTTGTTTCTAGGGCCAGGAGTTGCGTGTGGAAGGTGGGGTCCGGTGAGGGACCAGATGGCAGCCCAGGTGTGTCCCCACGTTTCCCCGGCTCTCTCTGCGGTGTTGGGGTCTGGCTTAAGCCAAACCAGTGAAGTTCGGGACCTTGTCATGAGCCAGCAGTTTGCTGGTTGTTGGATTTAAATATCGTTCCTTCAGAAAGGGATAGGAAGATGAACTGGCAGAGTGTGACATAAATGAAAGCTTAGAGCTCATGACTGGACTTGACTCTGATGACTCGAAAGACGTGATTAAGCAGTTTGAACTTAAAGGTATGGATTTTGTTACGTCGCCTCCAGCGGGCGCCCCTTCCCCCTGAACACTGCTCCTTGTTCACGAAGCCCCTGGGCACAGGGGAGTTCTGAGGGTCCAGCCAGGTCACTCACAGCCTCAAGCTGCCCCGGGAAGACTGGCTCATGCCCTTAGGAGCGTCTGCAAGGCCCAGAATAAGAAGGCTCTGTCACGTCAGTGGAAGGCTGCCTGCGCTGGGTGCCTGCCAGGTTCCTTGGTCTGCCTGGAGGCCAGGGCGGGGTCCCCATCACTCTCGTCACTCCAGCCGGAGCCTCTCTCCTCTGGTCCTTTAGTTCCCGGGGTGCCACAGGCCTGCCTCCCTGCAGAGAGCTCACCTCCACACACTGTGTCCTGCTGTTCCTACCTACTTTTCAGACTGTCATGGGTTTAACACAGATTTTTAATTTACTCTCCAGTGTGCACTGCCTCTTAACACTAGGTTATATTTAGAAGTCTATTTAAAGCCCTTTATAATCTGGGTCTTTATAAGATTTGTTTCTTTGTCTCTCTAAACCAATTGTGGTAACTGGGCCATCCCTGGCCCAAATTTAGAAAGAAGGGTTAATGAAGGACCAGCATCTTCCAGGCTCAGGGGCCGGTCCGGAACTGTCTTCCTGGAGAGGATCCCCTTTCACAGGTGCAGGTGTTCTGGGCTGTGTGGGGGGAGCTCTGTCTGTCCGTCCCCAGCAGCCCCGGGAGGAACATGTTCTTGAATAGAAGGCTTTCTGCCGATGCTTGTTATCAAAGTGCCTATGTGTCTGTATAAAAATCCTGAACGGGTCATTTATTTGTTAATGTTAAAATACTCTTTGATTTTTGTGAATCAAGTAAGTGTGTCTTTTCCTTCAGTGAAAGGAAAAGTGCTTAGAAATCAAAATGTAGATTATCTGAGAGATGGGTTGTTATATTCCTAAATCCAAGTTTGCCTGTAGATGAGACTATCAGGAAAGAACATATAGGTTTAAAGTAGAGACTGTAGTTAAACTTGAATGCAAGATTTGACAGGTTATAGAAAGATAGAAGTTTTGAAGCAAAAGTGTTTTGCCTTGAAGATATTTATTTCTCTGTTACTTAAGTTTTATAAGATGCTAAATTTGTTTCCAAATATTGGAGATAACTTTAGGGTTAGGTGTATTGGTTGTTTTAATAATTTGAAGCACAAACACAATTTTTTAAAAATTTTTTTAATGAGATATAATTGACATTTAACATTATATTAGCTTTAGGTGTGCAACATAATGATTTGATACGTGTGTATATTGCAGAATGATAACCACAAGTTTAGTTAACATCCATCTCATCACGTATAGTTACAAACTTTTTTTTCTTGTGATGAGAACTTTTAAGATCTACTCGCTTAGCAACTTTCAAAAATATACAATACAGTATTGTTAAGTATAGTTACCATGCTATACGTTACATTCCCCAGGACTTATTTATCTTATAACTGGAAGTTTGTACCTTTTGATCAATATCACTCATTTTGCCCATCCCCCGCCCATCCACCTCTGGCAACAACCAGTCTGTTCTCTCTATCTATGAATTCGGGGTTTTTTTTGATTCCACATATAAGTGTGATCATGCAGTATTTGTCTTTCTCTGTCTGACTTATTTCACCTGGTATAATGCCCTCAAGGTCCGTCCATGTTTCGCAAATGGCAGGATTTTCTTCTTTTTTATGGCTGAATAATATTCCATTGCGCATACATACCACATCTTCTTTATCCATTCATTTGTCGATGGACACTTAGGTTGTTTCCATATCTTGGCTATTGTGACTAATGCTGCAGTGACCATGGGGATGCGGATATCTTTTTGAGATAGTGATTTCACTTCCTTCAGATAAATACCAGAAGTAGAATTGCTGGATCATATGGTAGTTCTATTTTTAATTTTTTGAGGAACCTCCATACTGTTCTCCAGAGTGGTTACACCAATTTACATTCCCACCAGCAGTGCCCAGGGGTTCCCTTTTCTCCACATCCTCACCAACATTTGTTATTTAAATCATTTCTATTTTTAAATATTTTATGGTTTCCAAGACAACTAAAACTAAAAACAAAACCGCAAAGATGTATGAATAGCTGCATTTCTTCTCATTTTTAAAGTCCTATCTTTACCATAAAATATATCACTTTCCTTAGCAAATGAAAACATCTTCTCTAAGTTTATTACTTAAGTGATCATTTTACACGATCAGTTTCTTCATTTGTTCATGATAAATATTCCCGCCTAGAACAAAAACAAGCTCTTTTGATATCAATAGTTGAGGTAATAGTTTTGCCAAATGATCCGAGTTTCTTATGAGTAATGATGAAATCTGTAGGTGTGTGTGAAAAAAAAGACCTATAAGGATCCGGAAGGGAATAGCACAGACTTGCCGCAAGCACTGAGCCCAGGAGATGCCGGTCAATCTGGGGCGTAGTTGTCCTCAGGGGCAGGGCCACAGCCTCACAGAGTCACCTCTGTCATCGTCCCTAGACCCTGGAGGAACTTACGCATTTTTCCTGATTACATGAATCAGGCTTGCTTTGTTTTGAGGACCACCGAAGCAGACGGGGCTGGTTCTTTTCCAGGCAAGAAGGAAAATGCCCAAGTCTTTTGCGAGTTGGACTACGAATGCCCTCTCTTTGATTAGGCCCGGCTCTGATCGGGGTCTGCCGTCTCATCTGTGTCAACGGAAGGCCTCTGTGGCTTGTAGCTCTCGGCGTCTCCCAGAGCTGTGGCCCACGTCTCTTTTGCATGCTAACGTGTTCAAGTTTTGTCCTGTCTCGGTAGCGGCTACATGTCCAGCCCGACGAAGAACATTGTCAGCGGTATCCTCTTTGGCACGGGCCTCTGGGTGGCCCTCATCGTCACCATGCGGTACTCCCTGAAGATGCTGCTCTCCTACCACGGCTGGATGTTCGCGGAGCACGGCAAGATGAGTCGCGCCACCATGATCTGGATGGTAATTGAGCTCCACTCTCGGTGCAGAACTGGTGTGGATTTTTTTTTTTAACCACTTTGTTGAGGTAGGCTTGACGTACAGAAAGTCGTAGCTATTTTGTGTGTCCACCTGGACGTGTTGGGACATAAGTCTGCACCTGTGAAACCATCATTGCTGTCGCTGCCACCAGTGTGTGCATCGCCTCCAGGAGTCTCCTCATGCCCCACCGTTTTTTTTCCTTTCCTGGCAAGAGCACTTAACATGAGCTCTACTCTCTTAGCAAATTTTTATACGATACGGTATTGTTGGTCACAGGTCCTATCTGGTACAATGGATCCCCAGAACTTACTTATTTCGTATAACTGAAATTTTGTACCTTTTTTTTTTGGTGAGGAAGATTGGCCTTGAGCTAACATCTGTTACCAGTCCTCCCCTTTTTGCTGTGGAAGATTGGTGCTAAGCTAACATCTGTGCCCGTCTTCCTCTATTTTGTATGTGGGACGCCACCACAGCATGGCTTGATGACCGTGTGTAGGTCCGCGCCCGGGATCTGAACCTGTGAATCCCAGGCTGCTGAAGTGGAGCTCGAGAACTTAACCGCTATGCCACCTGGCTGGCCCTTGAAATTTTGTGCCTTTAACCCACACACCTCCGTTTGTTCTGCCCCCTGGCAACCAGCATCCTACTCCCTGCTTCCCTGACTTCCTGACTATATCAGGTTCTGCAGATCAGCACGATCAGGCAGTGTTTGTCCTTCTGGGTCTGGCTCATTTCACTTAGCATAGTGTCTCGCGAGGATGGCTTTTACTTTTGAAGAAAGTGTCCTCACAGGACCTTTCCTTGGGACACTTGATTGGTGACTTGGATGTTGACCTCTAATTGCTGGAGAGGTTTGATTCACCGTGACTTGTAAGTTTAGGTGAAAGAGTATTTTAATGAAGTTAGTGAGTTCTGAACATTTTATACTAACGTCTGCTAGGTTCGTCATCCGGATCATCCATCGAATAAAAATACTGTCCGTCCACCTCTTTATAGCTTTTCTGTCTGGCTCATAGTTAGGTATTAAGTGGTTTCACTAGCTGACCAGTCTGACCGGGACTCCCTGACTTGCCCATAGCTTCTGGTATGTTCCAGCAGCTCGCCCCGGCCGTTAGCCCGAGTGTCACTTATTTACCATGTGCGTGGATGTTTGTCCTGATTTCACCATGAGACAGCTCCGTCTGTGGGCTGGACGCCACCTCCAGAGGCTTGCTCGTGAGAGGAGTCTGGAGCCGCAGTGGTGCCACCCCCATGCCCGTGCCCACTGCGCACGCCTGCATTTCCCTCTTTCCCAAACTGACATTCTGCTGTCACATGGATTAAGTTTTCTGATTTCCAGAGAAGCAGAATTCAACACCCAGAGGAGATCAGAGATGGTCTCCCTCGCTTCACAAAACAGGTGAAGCAACGTTCCCTAGGAGGGCACTCATGGCTGATGTCCGGTTGAGTCCCAGCACCCTTCAGCATCGAGAACCACCTCTCACACACCGTGAGCCCTAGAAATTCCTTTACGGTCTGGTCAGCATGAGATGACCAGTTTCTACACCAGGTTTAGACCATTCCAGCCTAACTCGAGGGCTGATAGCAGGCCAGTGTGTGCTGTCCACGAGGCTTGTCAGTGACCGAAGGGGCCACACTGCTTCCCCTGGGGTTGGCTCGAGCTCCAGGTCCCTCAGCTCAGCCCCTCCTCACCGATGCCAGAGCCTCCAGCCGATCCTGAAACCAAGGGCCTCGCAGAAGGAGGTGGTGAAACATATCCCACGTGCAGAAGTGCAGTCAGACTACAATATCAAGGTGCCCGTGGAGGGCCCTGGACAGGGCGGGACACCTCCAAGCATCTGCCACACCCAGGCTTTCATTCGGCCTGGTTTTTATTGAAGGCTTACCTGTTTATTTGCTAAGGCCTGCCCACGTCCAGGCAGAAAGTGGACTAGAGGAAAAATAAAACAGCACAGAAAATCAGTAAATAGTTGGCAAGTTGTATACGCTTGAGAGACTTTAACATAGTGTCATCTTTTAAAATGTACCTTTTTTTTTTTTTCTTTTTTAAGTGTATGGTCAAGATCTTTTCAGGCCGAAAACCCATGTTGTACAGCTTCCAGACGTCTCTGCCGCGCCTGCCGGTCCCAGCCGTGAAAGACACCGTGAGCAGGGTAGGTGTAGCTTCGAGCTCACTTCACCCCACTGGGCAATCCTGGACATCTTGGGGACTGAGGCTTATGACTTGATAATGATGGTCAGTTAATTTACCGTCATTGCCTGTGTTAGCCCTTAGTGGTGCCCCTTGTGGGCTATCACATGAAATCTTTTTTTTTTTTAATGTATCAGCACATCTTAAGTATTTTTTAAAGAGGTATCATATTTGATAGAGAAACCACTTGGCAGACTTTTTTTAACAGCTTTATTGAGATAATATTCACATACCATACAATTCACTTATTTAAAGTGTCCAATTCAATGGTATTTGGTATATTACATTATTGTTTTAAATTGAACTTACATAACAAAATTAACCATGAATCGAGTTGTTTTAAATTTAGATAACATAAACTTTACCAATTTTAACTATTTTTAAGTGTAAGTGGCATTGATCACATTCACAATGTTGTATAACTGTCTCCACTCTATTTTCAAAACCTTTTCTTTACCCCGAACAGATACTCTGTACCCATTGAGTAACAACAGCTCCCGTTCCTTCTCCCCACTGACAACCTCTATTCTACTTTCTGTCTCTATGAATCTGCCTATTCTAAGGACCTCGTATAAGTGGGATCATACAGGGTTTCACCTTTTGTGTCTGGCTTCTTTCCCTCAGCATAATGTCCTCAGGGTCCATCCATGTTCTAGGATGTGTCAGAAGTTCCTTCCTTGTTAGGGCTGAGTAATATTCCATCGTATGGATAGACCACATTTGCTTATCTGTTCATCTATTCATGGGTGGTGCATGTTTTTGATCTGACTGGTGAGGGTCACTGCACAGCCTTTGAATGTCCCTCAGCTGCTGTCCCTGGGTCCCCGTGAGGCAAGGCGCGGGGCAGAGCGTGGATCGCCTGTAAGACCTGTCGTGACAACAGCCACAGTATCTCATTTAATCCTCAGAACCACTCAGCAAGGGAGGAAGCAGTTCTGTTTCTTTTTCTTTTTGTATTGTGGTAAAATATACATAATGTAAAATTGCTCATTTTCACCATTTTTAGGTATACAGTTCTATGCCATTAAGTGCATTCGCAGTGTTCTGCAACCCCCACAGCTGTGTAGTTCCAGAACTTTTTCATCACTGCCAGGCTGGTTTCCACAGCAGCTGCACCATTTTACACTCCCACCAGCAGTGTATGAGGGCTCTGGTTTCCCCACCTCCCGAGGCCCCATTTTAATTTTTATTTATTTTTATTTATTTATTTTTTCCCCCAAAGCCCCAGTAGATAGTTGTATGTCATAGCTGCACATCCTTCTAGTTGCTGTATGTGGGATGCGGCCTCGGCATGGCCAGAGAAGTGGTGGGTGCATCGGTGCACGCCCGGGATCTGAACCCGGGCCGCCAGCATTGGAGTGCGCGCACTTAACCGCTAAGCCACGGGGCCGGCCCCCAGGGCCCCATTTTAAAAACTGTAAAGTAAGCGGGAGACTTCTTGGCTTTTGAATCCTGGTTTAGTTATTTAGTCTCGGTTGGCTTTTCAAGTTCCTTTGAATCTCCTCCTCTGTGCCCTCAGCTGTGAAACAGGCTGAGCAGAGCCCCCTCCCGCAGGAGGTTCTTCTGCTGAGGTGTCTGGGGCCTGGGTGTCTGCCTGTCCTGTCAGCTCCAGAATTCACTTTGGTCATTTGGTGGTGATGCAGGATCTGGGGATCCTGTATGCCAATACGGGATGAAAAAGTTCACCTGTTTATTTATCATTAACCTAAAACATCATTTAGCGTTGGAGTGAGCTAACTTGCGTGAGGACTAGGGAAACCAGCTTGGGGAAGCTTTTAAAATCTTTTCAGTGTGTTTAAATCTTTTTCTCAGGCCCCGTTGTGGAAACGATGTGCTTTAACCTGGCTTGTGTGTTTTGTTAACCCCAGTATCTGGAATCGGTGAGGCCTCTCATGAAGGAAGAGGAATTCAAGCGGATGACGGCTCTCGCCCAAGATTTTGCTGTCAGTCTTGGACCGAGGTTGCAGTGGTATTTGAAGTTAAAATCCTGGTGGGCTACAAATTATGTAAGTCTATACACACACTGTTTTCCTTGGTGGGGTTTTTTGTGTGAAAATACTAAATCGTTCCACGAACAAGCTGATCTTCCCTCTGCGTGGCGGGCAAGAGGAGACATTTGGCAGATGAAATGATGCGGGGAGCCCAGTTTTTAAGGACTAGCTAACATGGAAAAGCAGGTGTTAAATAGGACCCCGGCAAAGCCAGGGGATGGGGCCAGAAGAGGGTGGGTGGGCAGTGGGTGGGCAGGAGGCAGGGGCTGGGGGCTCCATCTGCTGTTTCTGATCAGGCGATGGTTACGCAGGTGTGTTGAGTTCGTAAACATTTTCACACACACACTTAGAGTCTTACATGGCACCGTGCAGTAGGTATAGGCCCTTCAACACAAAGTAAAAAAAAATAAAGTGGTCCCTCTGTCCAGAAGGTTGTGAATGGTCCAGAAGCTTGTGGGTGTGGTTATGAAGAGATTGCTGGCCGTCTGGGGGATATTGGGGCGTCGAGCTGGGGCGTGAAGACAGCACACATGGACCCCCCCTGTTAGTGCCATGGCTCTGAAAGGGAACCAAACAGGATTGAGACCGTGGCTGCTTCAGGGAGACCCGGGAAGCAGGAAGAAGAGAAACAGTCTGCAGTGCAATTTCAGATGGTGTCAATTATTACAAAATGTTAGCGGTCAAACATTTATCACTTATTTTCCATTTGGTCTTTTTTTTTTTTATTAACCGTGTATCAAATGAAGGTGATCTACCTTCTGGCTATGTCATGACCTAAAACAAAAATAAAAGTCCTTTTCGTTCCTCACTCTTTTGCATTCCACCTAGTTAGGGCTGTGTTTTTGGGAATGGCCCCAGGAGAGAGAAGTGAGGCCAAGCGGGCAGGACAGAAGGCGCGCAGTGCACGCCCCCTGGGGCCCTGGCGGCCTGTGTCACTCCTGAGCTTGTCATTTGGTCTCTCCTGTTTGCGCCCAACAGGTGAGTGACTGGTGGGAAGAATACGTCTACCTCCGAGGACGGGGGCCGCTGATGGTGAACAGCAACTACTACGCCATGGTGAGTCCTCCAGGCCCGCACGTGTCTGATGGAGACTCAGCAGCTGGGGTGGCGTGTTCACAGTGCTGCGAGCTGCCTGGGAAAGCTCGAGGGCTTGACCCCTGCTCCTCCTGGTCCTGTTCCCCTGTCCAAGGCTTCACCCTCCACGGGGGAGTCCGGGATCTGCTTTCCATGCCAGAGAACCGGGTGGACGGCCTTTTGTATTTGCAGAGTAGCTCAAGGGAACTACTCAGAGCTACTGCAGAGAAATTTGGGTGGCAGAAATACTGTCTTGGCCAACAGGAATTCGTCACTGTAGTGTACCTCTCCCTGTTTTCATAACCAAGCACTGCATGAGAGTGCCACAGTGGCCTGAAGGGCTCACATCCCTGCCTGCCCCACAGAGCTTAGCGACAGCGGATCGACCAAGAGTTCGCCCACAGGCTGACACAGAGCTTGGTCCTTCTGCCACCTAAGACACCAGGGGTTTGCTCATCGCATGTCGTTTTCATATCTCTTTGGTCTTCTTGTCTTTCGAGACATTGATGGTCTGGGAGAGTACACACCATTATTTTGTGAGAAGCTCCTCCGTTTGGGTTCTGGAAACTGGCGTTTAGTAACTTCAATAACTGACGAATCTAATCCTTTGTTTCTGTTCTTCATTTCCTTCCATTTTCCCTCTTTTCCTTGTTTTTCTAGTTATTGTTTGCTTTTTCTTTCTGTTTTTCTCCTTTTAACATTTTTCTCTTAACTTTATTTTCCATTGGAAATGATCTCAAACTTAGACAAAAACTGTTGCTGTGGAACGTAGAACTTCTTTTTTGAGAGTAAGCAGTCCACCTGGTGCCCTCTCATTCCTGAAGACTTTGGTGTTTATTTCCTCCAAAGGCACGTGTCCTCATCAGGGGCACGCTACGCACATAGGCTCTCTCAAAATGTAGTTTAGGGGCCCACCTGGTGGTGCAGCGGTTAAGTTTGTGTACTCTGCTTCAGCGGCCCAGGGTCCGCAGGTTCAGATCCTGGGTGCGGACCTATGCACCACTTGTCAAGGCATGCTGTGGTGGCATCCCATATAAAGTAGAGGAAGATGGGCACAGATGTTAGCCCAGGGCCAATCTTCCTCAGCAAAAAGAGGAGGATTGGCAACGGATGTTAGCTCAGGGCTAATCTTACTCACCAAGAAAAAAAAAAAAAAAAGTAGTTTAGACACGTGTACCTCGGACTTTTCCTCCAGTCATGGAAAAATCTAGGCATTTAGAAATGTGTCTCAAGATTTAGAGAGTTACAAGTGCTAATCTATATAAAAGGTTATTTTAACTTTTGGTTAATTCTCCTTCAGGAAACTTCCTAATTGTCTAATTGCTCTCTTTTTTTTCTGCTTTTCTTTTAATGCATTATATGAGGATATTTGGGGCGAAATACTATCTTTTTTTAAATTTGAATTATATTTATTCAAAAGTTAATTTTAAAATATTCTATTGTCTTGAATAGCCCAAGAATTACTTGGGGGCTTGTGTTCTTATAAGATATGAACAAACAAAACTGACAACATGTAGGAAATGAAATTACCACTTATTTTCTAGCAGAGCAGGTGTAATTTAACACATATGGAAATAGCTCAACGTCGTGGAATGCTCTGCAGTGTATTTAGGTTGGCTTGTCTTCTCCTGTGAATGGTCTCTCTGCTGACACGGGTTTTCCCTTTTCAGGATTTTCTGTACATCACACCAACCCACATCCAGGCAGCGAGAGCGGGCAACGGTATCCACGCCATCCTGCTTTACCGACGCCAGCTGGACCGCGAGGAAATCAAACCAGTATGTAAACAAAGTGCTTTTTCACAAAATTATTTTAAAACAGTTTTATTGAAGTCTAGTTGACATATCACACATGATTGACGCGTACAATCTGATAAGTTCTGACATATTTATATACGTATATATATCTGTGAAACCATCACCACAATCAGCATAATAAACACATCCATCGCCCCCGGAAGTTCCCTTGTGCGCCTCTGTGATCTCTCCGTCCCCCCCTCCATTCCTTGCTGCCCCCCACCATTGCCACCAGGTAACCCCTCACCTGCTTTCTGTCACTCTAGATTCATTTGCATTTTCCAAAGCTTTATGTAAATGGAAGCATACAGTATGCACTTTTTTTTGGTCTAGCTTCTTTCACTCAGCATAATTTTTTTGAGATTTAATTCTCTTTGTTTATCCCAAATGGATATGTCTCACGTACTTTAGTTCTGTAATTTACCCTTCGAAGAAACTCTTGTTTGCTTTTGAAGGAACGTGATATAGCTGGTGAGCTACTCCTGAGAAACAAGACATGTCCTTCTTAAATACTCCTTTGGTTTAAGTGTCAGCTTATAAATGACAACTAGAAAGTGCTATTTAGGAGGTGACGATTTGGGAAGTTGTGCCCTGGCTGGTTCAGCAGGTCCCCAGGGAAGCGTGCATCCCAGGGGACAACTGTCCTCTATGGAGTTTGGAAAAGATTGGGTCCAGCCACCCCATGTGCACAGAAAACAAATCTGGCATTTCAGATGTGCGGTCTTCATTTGCTCCTGTTTTCTTCCCGCTGTGGAATGTTTGTTTGTTTGAAACCTCTTTTTGTTGCAGATTCTTCTTTTGGGATCCACGGTTCCGCTCTGCTCTGCTCAGTGGGAGCGGATGTTTAACACTTCTCGGATCCCAGGGGAGGAGACAGGTGAGTGGAGCTTCCTCCGGGATCAGCACTCTCCATCCCCATGCTCAGCGTCAGGAGATGTCAGAGGAGAGGACACGATTCGGGCTGCCCCCTCCCGAGACTTAGAGAGTTCAGGCTCATGAACGTTCCTCCTGTTAACTTTCCTTGGTCCTTCTCAAGCCTGGACAGCTGACTTATTTTCAGAGTCAGTTTCTCTTCGGTTGAAGGCTGTCTGATAGCGTGTTTTCTCCAGGTCTGGTTAGGAATATTCCTGTTTCTTCATCTGGATCCCCAGGGGCGTTTTGCTCTGGCTCACACGCAGGGTTTAGTGGGAAACGAATGCTGGATTGTGCTCGGGAAACGATTCGTGGTCCAGCAGCTCACTTATAGCAGCCTGACCTGGGACGCTGACCCCCCACCCCCCCAGAATGCAAGGTGGCCACATAATCTGACCAAGCCAGACACCCTCAAGGATGAAGGGGAGACACAACAGCTTACCCGGGACTGTCCCAGGCCAGCAGGGCTCAGGCTGTGCAGCCCGTGAGCGTCTGGCTGGCCATGGGGGTAGGAACTACCTGCCACTCTCGATTGACAAGCTGGACCCTGTCTGAGACCTCAGCAGGCCTTTATAACGAACCCCACTGCTGCTTTTGAAGCTGATTATACAAAGTCCCGAGCTGATCCAGTTTTTGGGGTGTGTCCTTACAGCCCAGTACTTCCAGACTGTGAGCCTGGGCAGTAACTTGGGCTGTGATGATGGGCAGGGGCCCTTGGACAAAAACGCTGGCCTCTGGGTGGCTTCCTTAAATGGACTCAGCCTTCCTCTGACACGGCATTCAAAGGTTCTCTAAAAATTCACTGCTTTCACAGTGTGGGGTGTTTCTGACTAAAAAGTAAACCTCTTCTCTCTGTTATACGCTGGAGGCCACTGACCTATGGCCAGCCACGTGAGAAATGGATAAGTTGGCAAAAAGCAGTATTGGGACAGTTAGCTATTTGGAAAAAAGTGAAGTTGACTCTCTCCATCCTCTAACAGTGTTTTTGAAAATGATTTTAATAAAATGTTATACTTTTCTCTGTAAGGGTCTTGTGCATCATCTGTTAAGAGTTATTCCTAGGTACCTTATTGTTTTTGTTGTTTTAAATTTATTTTCAAGTTTTTGGTTATTGAGCATGTTAGTTTGATAGGGCCACTGAAACAAAACAGCACAGACTGAATGGCTTAAATCACGGAAATGTATTTTCTCCCAGTCCTGGAGCTGGACGTCCAAGATCCAGGTGTGGGCAGGGCTGGTTCCTCCTGAGGCCTCTCTCCTTGGCGTGTACGCGGCCGTCTTCTCCCTGTGTCCTTGCATGGTCGTCCCTCTGTGTGTGTCTGTGTCCTGATCTCCTCTTCTTATAAGGACCCCAGTCATACGGGATTAGGGCCTACTTTATGACCTAGTTTTCACTTAATTACCTCTTTAAAAGACTGTATCTCCAAATACAGTCACATTCTGAGGTTAGGGCTTCAACATGAATGGGAGGGGCATATTCAGCCTAACACTGGGGCATAGGAATGCAAATGAGTTTTATAAATTGAGTTTATACTCAGCTATATTCTTACTAACTTAAACAGCCTGTCGGGTTAGTTGGAATTTCTATGTGGCTGATCATAGCTGTGAAGGACTACGTTGATAGTTCCCTTCCAGTCCTTTTGTTTAGCTCTTTTTTCTTCTTTTACTGTACTGGCCAGGGTCTCTGGTATAATGTTGACTAGAGGTGGTCAGCGGGTGCGTTTTCTTATTTCTGGCTTTAAAGTAAAGGCTTTAAATGCGTGTTTGATGTAGCTTTCTGGTAGAAACCTTCAGCAGGTTTAGGAAGTTCCCTTCCATTCCAGGTTTGCTGAACATCTGAAAAAATTAGATGCAGTGTGGATATTGATGAGTTCTGTGTCTTATCTGGCCAGTCCCTTCCTAAGTGGCATGTCCTCAGTGGGTGGGGCAGGGCTTTCTCAGCATCTCAGGCTGCAGTGGGGCTGTTGTCTTATGATTTCTTAGATTTCTATGATTTCCTCTTGTTCTTTGTAATCGTTGTCATATTATTAATTATGTCTGTAGCACATCTTCACCACCAGCCTGTATCTGCCTCATCCAGCAATTACTGTATGCCCCACCCCGAACGGTACTTAGGAGGACTTGATAAATATTCATTAAATGAATTTACTTAATCATATTCCTCTGATGTTTAAGCTTTTTAAAAAAATTTATTTTATTTTATTTTTTGGTGAGGAAGATCAGCCCTGAGCTAACATCTCTTGCCAATCCTCTTTTTTGCAGAGAAGAGTGGCCCTGGGCTAACATCCCTGCCCCTCTTCCTCTACTTTATATGTGGGACGCCTGCCACAGCATGGCTTGATAAGCAGTGCGTAGATCCATGCCTGGGATCTGAACCAGCAAACCCTGGGCCGCCAAAGCGGAGCACACGAACTTAACCACTACACCACTGGGCCGGCCCAGATGTTTAAGCTTTTGAAAGTTCCCCCCAAGGGGCAATTTTCCCCCCAATTTTTTTTTATTGTGGCAAAATACACATAACATAAAATTTACCATGTTGACCATTTTTAAGTGTATAGTCCAGTGTACTAAATAGATTCATAATGTTGTACAACCATCACCACCATCCACCTCCAAAATTCTTGTCACCTTGTAACACTGAAATTCCGTCCCCATTAAACACTAACTCCTCGGGCCTGGCCCCGTGGCATAGCAGTTAAGTGCGAGCGCTCCGCTGCTGGCAGCCCAGGTTCGGATCCCGGGCGCGCACCCATGCACCACTTGTCAGGCCATGCTGTGGCAGCATTCCATATAAAGTGGCGGAAGATGGGCACAGATGTTAGCCCAGGGCCAGTCTTCCTCAGCAAAAAGAGGGGGATTGGCATGGATGTTAGCTCAAGGCTGATCTTCCTCACCAAAAAAGAAAAAAAAAAACACGTAATTCCTCATTCCCCACTGCCCCCAGCCCATGGCAACAACCGTTCTGTGTTCTGTCTCTATGAATTTGACTAAGTACCTCATATAAGTGGAATCATACAATATTTGTCCTTTTGTGTCTGGCTTATTTCTCTTAGCGTTATGTCCTCAAGGTTCATCCATGTTGTAGCATGTGTCAGAATTTCCTTCCTTTTTAAGGCTGAATAATATTGTATTGTCTGGATAGACCACGTTTGGCTTATCCCTTCATCCATCGAAGGACACCTGGGTTGCTTCCACGTTTTAGCTATAGTGAATAATGCTGCTTGTGAACATAGGTGTGCAAATATCTCATTGAGACCCTGCTTTCAATTCTTTTGGGGGATATACCCAGAGGTGGAATTGCTGGATCATATGGTAATTCTATTTTTAATTTTTTGAGGATCCACCATACTTTTTTCCACAGTGACTGCACCATTTTACATTCCCACCAACAGCATGAGTGTTCCAATTTCTCCACATCCTCACCAACACTTGTTATTTTCAGGTTTTTGATAGTAGCCATCCTAATGGGTGTGAGGTGGTATCTCATTGTAGTTTTGATTTTCATTTTCCCTAATGTTAGTGATGTTGAGCATCTTTTTATATGCTTATTGGCCATTTGTATGTCTTCTTTGGAGAAATGTGTATCTCCAAAGAAGCAAAGAAAAGTTCTTTGCCCATTTTTGAATCAGGTTGTTTGTTTTTTTGTTGTTGAGTTTTAGAAGAGTTCTCTGTATATTCTGGATATTAATCCCTTATCCGATACGTGATCTGCAGATATTTTCTCCCATTCTGTGGGTTGCCTTTTCACTCTGTGGGTAGTGTCTTTTGATGCACAAATATTTTTAATTTTCATAAAGTCAATTTTGTCTGTTTTTTCTTTTTGTTGCCCATACCTTTGGCGTCATATCTAAGAAATCATTGCCAAATCCAATTTCATGAAGCTTTTGTCCTGTGTTTTCTTCTAAGTTTTATAGTTCTAGGTCTTAACGTTTAAGTCTTTGATCCACTGTGAGTTAATTTTCATATATGGTGTTAGGTAAAGGTCCAACTTCATTCTTTTACATGTGGATATCAGATTTTCTCAGCACCATTTGTTTAAGACTGTCCTTTCCCTATTGAATGATCTTGGCATTCTTGTCAAAAATCATTTGACAGGATATGTGAGAGTTTATTTCTGGGCTGTCTATTCTATTCCATTGGTCGATATGTCTGTCTTTATGTACCACACTCTTTTGATTACTGTAACTTTGGAGTAAGTTTTGAAATTAGAAAGTGTGAGTCCGCCATCTTTGTTCTTTTTCAAGATTGTTCTGGGCATTTGGGGTCCCTTGACATTCCTCTTGAAATTTAGGATGGGTTTTCCTATATTTGCAAAAAAACACCATTAGGATTTTGATATGGATTGTACTGAATCTGTAAATTGCTTTTGGTAGCACTGACATTTTAACAACATTGTCTTCCAATCCATGAACATGGGCTGTGTTTCCATTTACGTCGTCTTTAATTTCTTTCCCCAGTGTTTTGTAGTTTTCATTGTACAAGTCTTTCACCTCCTTGTTTAAGTTAATTCCTAAGTATTTTGTTCTTTTCGATGCTATTATAAATGAAATTATTTTTGTAATTTCCTTTTCAGAATATTAATTGTTACTATATGAAAATGCAACTGATTTTTGTGTGTTGATTTTGTATCCTGCCACTTTGCTGAATTCATTTATTAGTTCTAACAGTTTTTTTGTGTAATCCTTAGGGTCTTCTACATATAAGATCATATCGTCTACGAACAGAGATAATTTTACTTCTTCCTTTCCAATTTGGATGCCTTTTATTTCTTTTTCTTGCCTAATCCCTCTAGCCGGAACTTCCAGTACTATGTTGAATAGAAGTGGTGAAAGTGGGCATCCTTGTCTCCTTCCTGATCTTAGAGAAAAAGCTTTCAGTCTTTGACCATTGAGTATGATGTTTGCTGTTGATTTTCATAAATAGCTTTTATTGTGTGGAGGAAGTTTCCTTCTATTCCTAGTTTGTTAAGTGTTTATTTCCTGAAAAGTGTCTTAAATTTTGTCAAATGCTTTTTCTGCATCAATAGAGATGATTGTGTTTTTTTCCTTCGTTTTGTTGATGTGGCATATCGTTGATTGATTTTTGTATGTTGAACCCTCCTTGCATTCCAGGAGTAAATCCCTCTTGGTGATGGTGTATATACTTTTAATATGCTGCTGAATTCTGTTTGCTAGTATTTTTGCATCAATGTTCATAAGCGATATTCGTTTGTAGTGTTCTTGTGATGTCTTTTTCTAGCTTTGGTATCAGGTTCTGCTGGCCTCATAGAATGAATTAGGAAGTAGTTCCTCCTCTTCATTTTTTGGGAAAAGTTTGAGAAAATTGGTATTAGTTCTTTAAATGTTTGATAGAATTCACCAGTGAATCTATTGGGTTTAGGGCTTTTCTTTGTTGGGAGATTTTTGATTACTGATTACATCTTTACTAGTTCTAGGTCTATTCAGATTTTCTGTTTCATGGTTTAATCTTGGTAGGTTTTGAGTTTCTAGGAATTTATCCATTTCATCTAGGTTATCCAATGTGTTGGTGTACAGTTGTTCGTAGTTATCTCTTACAATCCTTTTTATTTCTGTAGAATCAGCAGTAATGTCCCTACTTTCATTTCTGATTTTAGTAATTTGAGTCTTCTCTCTTTTTCTCTTAGTCCGTCTAGCTAAAGGTTTGTCAATTTTGTTGATCTTTTCAAAAAAGACTTTGGATTTTATTGATTTTTCTCTCCTGTTTTTCCATTCTCTATTTCATTGATCTCTGCTCTTAATCTTTATTATTTCTTTCCTTCTGCTAGCTTTGGACTTAGTTTGTTCTTCTTATTCTAGTTCCTTAAGTTGTAAAGTTAGGTTGTTGATTTGAGATCTTTCTTGTTTTTTAATGTAAGTGTTTATAGCTATAAATTTCCCCCTTAGCACTGCTTTCACTGAGTCCCATAAGTTTTGGTATGTTGTGTTTTTGTTTTCATTTGTCTCTAAGTATTTTCTTATTTCCCTTGTGATTTCTTCTTTGATCCATTGGTTAGGAGTGTGTTGTTTAACTTCTACAAATTAGTGAATTTTCTAGTTTTCTTTTTGTTATTGATTTCTAACTTCATCCCGTTGTGATCAGAGAAGATACTTTGTATGATATCTATCTTTTTAAATCTGTTGACACTTAATTTGTGGCCTAACATGTGGTCTATCCTGGAAAATGTCCCAAGTGCACTTGAGAAGAGTATGTATTCTGTTGTTGTTGGGTAGAGTGTTCTGTATATGTCTGTTAGATCTAGTTGGTTTATTGTGTTGTGTAAGTCCTCTCTTTCCTTACGTATCTTCTGTCTGGTTGTTCTATCCATTATTGTGAATGGGGTATTGAAGTCTCCAATTATTATTGTAGAACTGTCTGTTTCTCCCTTTAAGTTTATCAGTTTTTGCTTCATATATTTTGATGGTCTGTCATTGGGTATATAAACGTTTATAGTTGTTATTTTCTTGCTATATTGAACTTTTAATTAACATGTAATGTCCTGGGCCAGCCTCGTGGCGTAGCAGTTAAGTGCACTCACTCCGCTGCTGGCAGCCTGGGTTTGGATCCCGGGCGCGCACCAATGCATCGCTTGTCAGGCCACGCTGTGGTGGCATTCCATATAAAGTACAGGAAGATGGGCATGGATGTTAGCCCAGGGCCAGTCTTCCTCAGCCAAAAGAGGAGGATTGGCGTGGATGTTAGCTCAGGGCTGATCTTCCTCACACACACACACACAAAAATGTAATGTCCTTCTTTGTCTCTTGTAACCTTTTTTGATTTAAAATTTCTTTTCTTTGATATTGGTATAGCCTCTTCTGCTCTCTTTTGGTTACTATTTGCATGGAATATCTTTTTCCATCTTGTCACTTTCAATCTGTTTGTGTCTTTGGATCTCAAGTGAGTGTCTTGTAGACAGCATATAGTTTGATCATGTGTTTTTATCCATTCTGCCAATCTCTGTCTTTTGATTGGAGAGTTTAATCCATTTACATTTAAAGAAATTACTGATAAGGAGAGACTTAATTCTGTCCTTGTGCTATTTGTCTTCTACATGCCTTGTAGCTTTTTTGCCCTTCATTTCCTGCATTGTTGTCTTTCTTCTTTTATGTTTAGTTGATTTTTTGTAGTGAAATATTTAAATTCCTTTCTCATTTCCTTTTGTGTGTATTCTGTGGCTATTCTCTTCATGGTTACTATCGAGATGACATTTAACATCCTAAAATTATAACACTAATCTGAATTTATACCAACTTTATACCTAACTTCAATAACCTACATAAACTGCTTATTTACAGCTCTATCCCCACCATTCAGTTGTTAATGTCACAAAATTACATCTTTAGAATTGTGTTCCCTAAATCACAAACTAATAATTCTTTTAAATGCATTAGTCTCCTAAATTATGTAG